GGAAGATGGGCACGGATGTCAGCCCAGGGCCAGTCTTCCTCAGCAAAAAGAGGAGGATTGGCTGCAGTTAGCTCAGGGCTAATCTTCCTCAAAAAAAAAAAAAAATTCATGTCTGGTTTTGACCCTTAACCTCAGGTGGTCTAGTTCTCTGAAAGCACACACACATAGTTTTTAATTTTGAGTATATAGCAGTTAGACTTAGCCTCATATGACAGAAACACAAAATAACAGAAACTTAAACAAGGTAGAGATTCGTCTTTCATGTGAAAGAAATGCAGACGTTGACAACCCTGGCCTGGTGGGGCAGCAGATGAAGTTGCTGGGCCCCTGGCTCCTGCCTTTACGTCAGCACCGGGCTTCCGCCTCACTCCCAGGACAGCCGCTTGAGCTCCAGGAAGAAGGAGGAAGAGACAAGGAAGGGTGCACTCCTGCTGGTAAGGTTTCTTCTGGAAGTCCCCTGTGCCCTTTGTGCTTGCTTACTGTTGGCAGAACTTGGTCCACGTTGCGGGGTGCTGAGAAATGGAGTAGCCATGTGTCACCAAAAAGAATCCTGTTTTTTAAGAAAAGGGAGGATGGATATTGAGAGTCCGCCAGCAGTCCCTGCTAAGACTGGAATTGGCAGTGTATGAAAAGATTAGTGTGGAGTCATCCCAGGCAAGAGTGCGCCGTCTTTCCACTCATTCAGACCTTCTGATGCCCTTCAGTGTAGTTTACATCTTCTCATGGACATCGTGCAGATCTTTGTTAGATTTAATTCCGAAGTACCTAATAGTTGTTCTTTCTGTTTGTAAATAGTAATTTTTTGCACTTAGATTTTCTCAATGACCACAGTCAAGGAATGTTAATTTTTTTATCTTATACTTTCTTATTAGTTCCCATTTCCTAGTTAGACAGTCATCACGTGTGAATGACAGTTTTCTCTCTTCCCATCATTCTCCTTTTTCTCTCATGATTGGTTGGCTTAGGCTTTATTATACTATGACTTGTCTCTTCATGAATGGGTACTAAGTTTTATCAAATTGTTTTCACACCTGTTGAGTGAGCATTTGGTTTTTCTCCTTTAATCTGTTAATGTGTGAATTACATTACTATATTTTCTAAGATTCCTGAGATAAATCCTAATATAATACATCATACCAGATAAAATGATTATTTTTTGAACATTGTTGGGTTAGTTTGCTAACTTTTTTCAGGATTGTTGCATCTGTCCACAAATGAAAAACAAGTCCTATAATTTTTCTTTCTCATAATGGCCTTGTGTGATTTTAGAAACGTCGTTATATAGCCTCAAAAACTTAGGTGGGGAGCTTTCCTTCTTTTTCTGTTCTCTAGAACAATTTGCATAAGATAGCAAGTCCTTGAAGATTCCATAGTCTTCACCTATAGATTTTTGGTCGGTAGATCTTTAAGTATTATTTCAATTACATTAATGGCTAGAAGGAGTCAAGTTTTCTATTTCTTTTTGTAATGTTTTATTGAAGTAGAACATATATACAGAGAAGTAAACATTATATAAAGGTAATCATACAAATGTACTTTGTGTTTTATTTTATTCAACATTATATTTGAGAAATTCATCCATATTGTTACATGTAATTGTAGTTTGTTCTTTTTAAGTGCTAATTTTACATTATGTGGCTGTATCATGATTTATCCATTCTACTTAATGGACATTTGGGTAGTTTCCAGACTTTGACTCTGACAAATAATGCTGCTGAAAACATTCTAGTCTATCCCTTTTGTTGATAAGTATTTGCATTTCCGTTGACCAGGAGTGGAATTGCTGAGACAATACCCATGTGTTCAGCTTTAGTAGATGCTCCTGAACAATTTTCAAAAATGATTACCAATTTCTGCTTCTTTTTAAGTTTTAGTGAGTTATAGTTTTCTAGAAAATTGTCTATTTCATCAAAGTTATTGATATGAATGAAGCTTTCTTATGATTTTTTAATATCTGCCATTGTGTCTCTTGTATTATTCCTAATATTATTTGTGCTGCTTTCTTTGTCTTTGCATCAAGCTTGCCAGATTTATCCATTTTACTTGACTTTTTAAACAACCAACATTGAGTTTTATTGATTCCTTCTATTGTCTCTTTATTTTCCATTTTATTAACATATGCTCTCAACTTTCTACTTCATTGTTTCTGATTTTAGATTATTATTACTTTCTCTAACTTCTTAAATTTAATATACTTAACTCTTTAATTTTCAGTCTTCATTTTCTTTAAGCTCAATATTTTAAAATTACATCAACTACTTAATTACATCCCACAAGCTTTGATAATCATCTCAATTTTATTCGCTTTTAGATATCTTCTAATTTCCATTATGATTTTTTCCATTTTTGATCTCCAGTGTGTGAATTTTTGTTTGTTTTGTATTAATTGTAATTTTGGTATTGATTTCTAATAAATTACATTGTAGTCAGAGAATATAGTCTGTAAAATATTTATGTTTTGGTATTTGTGAACATTTCATATGGGACTTAGGGCACAGTCACTTTTTTTTTTTTTTTGAGGAAGATTAGCCCTGAGCTAACTACTGCCAATCCTCCTCTTTTCGCTGAGGAAGACTGGCCCTGAGCTAACATCCGTGCCTGTCTTCCTCTGCTTTATATGTGGGACACCTACCATAGGATGCCTTGCTAAGTGGTGCCATGTCCACACCCGGGATCTGAAGCAGTGAACCCTGGGCCACCGAAGCAGAACGTGTGCACTTAACCACTGTGCCACCGGGCCGGCCCCTGGCACAGTTGCTTTTTATAAATATTTTTTGTATAATAGAAAAGAATGTGTATTCTCCAAAAATTGAGTACAGACTATATACATTCTTTTAGACAAAACTTATGTTCTGTATTATTATTAGCTTTTGTCTGCTTGATATATCAATATATGCTAAAAATTAAATATATATCTGGATGTTTCCTCCTCTCTTGTAGTTCTGTTAATTTTTTCTTTCTATATTTTGATCCTGTTGTGCTATACATAAATAATATCGATGTATCCTAGTGATTTTACCCCTAATAATGTCTTTTGTGCTCTTGAGGTCTGTTTGTTTGACATGAATATAGCAATATCAGCTTTCTTTGGTTAGTACTTCTCTAATATTTCTTTTTTGATCTCTTTACGTCACCTTGTCTATGACTTTGTATTTTAGGTTTGTCTGTTGCGGTGGGTAGGAGAGATTTCAAAGTTGAGAATCTCAGCCTTTCGGCTAGTGAGTTTGTCCACGTATATTTATTGTGATCACTAGTATATTTGAATTTATTTCTACCAGTATCTCTCTAGAACACTTTTGCATAATGTCTCCATTTTTAATTTCCCTAATTTTTTCCTAATTTTTTCATAATATCCTATTGTTTTAAGTCCTCCTTCTTAGTCATTTTAAAACTTCTTACTTTCAGATTGTTGTAAATTTAAATTCTTAGGGATCTAATCCTTCTTTTCATTGTACACACAGACGCTTGCTTATGATGGGTTTTTTCTTCATGGGTTTTGTAATTTTGGGTTCAAATTCTTTCTCCACTGGAGTTTTATCTGTAAATCCCCTGTAATCCCAGGGTGAGAGAGTGTCTCTCCAGAGTTGTTTTGCATTTACTTCTGCTTGGCTCCTTAGATATAGCCATCTTAATCCTAGAGGCAATTTTTATGTTATTTTTGATGGATTCTTAGAGCACGAATGTAGTCTAACTTGAACCCTGGATTTCTCCTTTGTCAATTCTTAGGCAGGCCAAGATTCCTGCTCCCCGCCGAGGAAGATCAGCTTTTTGGTTTGTCTTTTCTCAGCCTCTCTTTCACTGAGGGTGCTGCCATTTGAGGGTTGTGCCTTTAAATAGGTAATGAGTTCAAAGTGACTACCTCTTTCAGACCCAAGTCCTCATCTTCTGACCCCAAATAGGTGATAAAACCCAAGTTGTTCTAGGGTAGCAGGATGTGCGCGCCCTATGCCGTCCTTGGCAGCTTGCTTTCCTCCTGCTCCAGTTTTCCAGAGCTTGTTTCTGGCACCTTGGGCCCTCCATTTATCTCCTTTATGTTCAGCTGTGCAAATGAAATGTTTTTTATTTTCTCTGGCATTTTTAGGTGTTCATAGTAGGAAAATTTTTAGGTTTTCTTAGTCTGTAACTTTTCCTAAATCTAGAAATAGAGATTTGGATTAAGTGAAAATAATAGCGTATAGCTAAAAACATGGATTTTTTGAAAAGCATCATGCAGTGCATATTTTTTTCACCTCGTGGCTTTCTTTTTGTTGATGACATAGAATAAACAAGAAGTGACATTACATCAATCTTGTTATCCATAGAGCCACTCAAGAGGACGGTTTTGATCCTCGCTTCTGAACCTCTTGTCCCTGTGTGTAAGATTTACCTTCACGTTCTCTAGCCTGTCCCCGAGCCTGGGTTTAATCTCCACCTGCAGTCTCCCTCCACTGAGCATGCTCAGAATTTACTTAGAAGAACAAGTAATTTACTTAGAATTTACCTAGAAGAACAAGGACGAGGAAGAGGAGGAGAAGGAGGAGCAGGAGGAGGAAGAGGGAGAGGAGGAGCATTTTAAAGAGCTGCTGAAGGAGCTCCAGGTTTCTGCTTGACTGCAGTGAATTAGCCTCCTGCCCGTATCTTCTCTCCTGTCACACCTGGTAAAGCCCTGAGCTCCGCAGGGTCCATTGGAGTTGGGACAACATCAGAAGGGACTCAGCGGGGCTGAGATTAGGATCTGCGTGTCATCTTCTGCCTCCCAGAGCCAGATTGCATACATAACTTTAGCAGTACCCATTACCTTCTTTTTCCTCTGTGCACTTGCTGCAGGCTGCAGATTTCATCCTACTGATTGAAGGGTGGTGTGATGCTTTAGGATTTGGGTTGCTTCCATACAAAGGATCAATATGACATTTTATTTCCCAGTCTACAGATGTCACTGCGTTGCAAGAGAAAGCACTTCCAAGCATTATGATGGTTCTGCTCCTTCTCTGTCTAATCATTATGTATTCATCTCTTTTTAGGGAGGAATGATCAATTGGAATCGTCTTTTCCCTCCTTTACGTCAGCGACGAAATATAAACTATCAAGATGGTCGGCGGTCTGAACAACAAGCATCCCCGCCTCTAGAGGTTTCTGAGGAACAGGTAATCGGTAACACCTGGTACTTATCCTAAACCCATGTTACAAATTCAAGCAGTCTTGGTGAATAAGACTTGAAGGAAATCAAGCATATAAATACAAAGATTTGGATAGCTGTTAAACTGCCACCTGTAAAAGTGATGGACACTTTGGGCCTTTATTGGCCACTGTGGGTCTTATGAGTTTGAGGAAGGCATGATTTGAAAAAAAGTGTGCTGTGATCTCTTATTTTAAAATGTATAGTACTTTATATATGGAGAAAACTACTGCTGTTGGTTCCCTGTGAGGGATGGAGAAAAGGCAGAAGGGCAGGGAGGCAGTGGTGCTTCTCTTGAGTAATCCTTTTGTATATTTTTTACTTTTGGAATCAAGTTGATGTTTTACATATTCAAAAAGCAAATCAACAATAAGGACAACCGTAAAACTAAAAAAGAGACCGATATAAATGATACAACTGTAGCATAATCATAGGAAAGGGTAAAAATTAATCTCAGTAACTTTTGAACATTATATGCCCTCTGTCTAAGAAAAAACAAACTGCAAGCACATCTCAGACTCTTCGTAGGTTTACCTTTCATAGTGATATGAGTACAGCAATTCTGATATTTTGTATGTATTATAGATTTGAGCAAATGAGGAAATAGGTTGATCTTACTGTGGAAGAAAAGAAAATACCAAAAGAGAACTGGGTAAGGCAAGGAAGAACCTGTGGGGTTGGATTAGAATTAGAGACATCTGCATAAACTCATGATTTAATGTGTGTGTATGTGTGCGTGCACGTGTGTCTTAGCTCTGTCAACCGAGAGGAATCAGAAACAGTGGCGTCCCAGTAGCACTGAGCACACCTAGTGCCCAGATCTAGCTTCTGGATACTTTGGCCCACTCACAGGAACCAGCCTCTTTAGAGAAACAGTGAGCCTCAGGCCCAGGGTAGGGAAGGCAAAAGATGAACCTAGACCACCTTATATGGAGAATTAAGGAAGTGCTCCATAACTGAAGGGGTGTGCCACAAGGATCCCAGAGCCAGCATGAGGGAGTCACACTGGCCAAATCTGGGACATCAGATTTGAGCATGAAAATAAATGAGGACGATACTATAACATAAGCGCTTTAGGGGAGGAGAATGCATGAGTTTATACAGATATTAATAGAAAAATAAATATTTACATAAATACATACATCCACAAGGGAAAGGGAAATGCTTTCCTTTCAGTAGAACATAAAGTAATAAAAGAATGATGGTATTGCAAAATCACAGTTTGGCAGCTATCAGAGTAAAAATCAATTCAGGGAAGAATCATCAATATATGAAGAACAGGCTATTTATATAATGTCAAAGTATCTCCCCACAAGTGACTTATTAATTACAAAAGGAAAATAGTAACTCTACAGTGGAGAAATTGGATACTGCTTAACCAAGTTATCAGAATTATTATTACCAGTAATGGGACAGAGGGCAGTGTGGGCAAGCCCTGAAAAGGACACATCAGTTATGTGTTACAATAAAAAATGCATAACTTTGTTCATAAAGACAAACCCAATTTGAGAGTCATTCTATAAAGTACCTGACTTGTATTCTTCAACAGTACTGATGTTACAAACTGTTCCAGATTTAAGGAGACTAGGGAGCATGCTAACTAAGTGTCATACATGGTCCCAGACTGGATTCTGTACTGGAAACATATGGTGAAAGGACATTTTAGAGTCAGTTGATGAAATTGGACTGTACACTAGATAATATTTTTAGGTTAATAAGTTTCTAGGATTCGGTATCTATACTGACTGTAGTTAAGAAAGAGAATATCCTTTTTCTTCAAAATACACACAAGTTATTAAGGGGTAATGGGAACCCTTATATATGTAACTTAACCTCAAATGGCTCAGGAAAAATAAGTGAAAGAGGGAAAAAGTATATGTAGACAGAGAGAGAGAAAGCAACTGTGGCAAAATAACGGTGAATCTGGATGAAGAGTCATCAGGGGTTCTTGGAGCTCTTCTTGAAATTTTTCTATAAGTTTGAAATTGTTTCATACTAGAAAGTTTTAAAAAATGCATAAAATAAGTTTAGAGTATTCCAGTAACACCACTTTCAAATTTAGTTCTGCATCCATTAGTTTCTTCTCATGAAAGCAAATCAAGGTCAGCATTTCATAGCTGATCACACCATCCAGGCCATCACCTCCCCATCCCCTGAGTAAAAAACTGTAGTCAGACCCAAGGCACCAAGTCTCTGCATCTAAGCTGTGTCCTGACTTTTTCTGGAACTCAAGAGGGGCCCCTGGGCAGGACTCCACTGCCACCCCTGGACTAAGCTGCCATAAATGCTTCTGAAAGAAACCAGTTGAATGTACCTAATGAGTTGATGCAGACCCTCATTCTTGCAAGTTCTCAGCTCAGACTGATCATTTCAGCAGCTCTTTAGGATAGAGAGATGGATTAAGGAGCCATAGTTCTCTTCTACGTCCATTAAAGAATTTCTAGAAAAATGTTATTCCCACGATAAGAAAATAAAGCCAAATAACTCAGCATTTCTAAGATATTTATGGTACAAATTAAAAACTAAGCTAACACTCTCAAATTCAGGTGAAAAGAAATAGAATTCTGTTCTGTTACTGTTTACTTGATAGAGCTGTGAGTCACGTTCCTCACGGAGCAGCCGTTAACAATACGAGGTATTTAAAGGTGAGATAGTTCTTAGTCTTGACACTTTGAAAAAACAGTGTCAAAAAGTGATAACAAGCAGAATGTGTGTAATTGAAGTCTTTAGGGTTTTTTTAGTGAATCATTTTCCTTGATACTCGCAGAATGACAACACTGAGGTTAACATGTTGTCAATATCAGTTTAAGTTCTTCCTTACTCTGCTATGAAAAGATGTAACTACATGAGAGGTTGTTTTTAACATATGCTTCCTTATTCATTGATTTTCTAAATCTTGTTTTTTGTATTTCTTGTTTACCTTGAAAATGGCCATTATAGACCATCATTGCATGAGGACACACAGTCCTCCCTGGCATTGTTTGTTATGCACACTCTTGGTAATTCTTCTAATAGGTGCTAGAGGGACAGTAAAAGAGAAAAAAGATGTTGTTCTTGCCCTCAAGATGTTAACAGTAACGTTTAGAAATTTATAATTAATGTGTAATCTCTTGGCTAGTTTGTTGAGGCTAGACACAATCTAAAATATCATTTGTTGGTAACATTAAGATAGCTTGAGCTAACAAAACCTTTTTATGCTTAATTTTTCAATTAAATGTGCTGTATTTTATTTTTTAAGTAACAGAGTCTTGTAATTTTAGTGCATTAAGAAACTTAGTAATTTTCTAAACCAAGACAAATAGAAATGATTATTTGAGGGTTTTTTTGATGTAAATAAGTGCTTAAGGAATTTTCGTGAGAGTTCTTTAAGATAGGAAATGTACCAGTCCATGTGTTTTGAAAAAACAGAATATTCTAAGAAAGAATGTGCCTCTCCTGTTCAGTCTAGTGATAGTCCAACATACAGCTACAGAAATTTTTTGCCACCTATTGTACTCTTCCTAGTCTATTTTTCTCTCTCTTTTTTCTTTCAGGGATTTTTATGCTACACCCATACTCAAAGTTAACAAATAATGAAATTTTCTCATATTGGCTTCATATTTTTTTTAAATCAAAGGGGGAAAACTTACCAAGTTTTTCTCTCTTAACCTTCTCCAAGCTTAGGCGGTGACCCTTCGATGTATACTTAATGGGACTCACAGGTAAAATCAGACAAGGAAGTTAAATAAGACTAAGCCACAGCTAGGACTTAACAAAAGGCAGATAAACACAGACTGTTCCCAATTTCGACATCCTTACTTCCATTCATCTTTCCTTTCCTGTAGCCAGCCAACAATTTTCAACTGCTCTGCACTGGGCTAAGCACTGGGCTAGGTGCTTGAAATACAGAGATAAATACGGTAGAATTTCCTGCCCTCAGTGGTGCAGAGCCCAGTGTTGTAGGGAGCCAAGCCCAGAAATGGCTCTAGTCAACTATATAGAAGCGTCCTAGTGCTACTGAAACTGAGAAGGGATTGCCAGTGCTGGGCGGGTTGGGGGCAGTGGCATTTGTAAAGATGTGGTGTGGTGAAAAGTGCATCCAATTTGGGGAAGCACAGGTGGGTGAGGTTGGAGTGGAGGGTAACCGGTGGGGCAGGGGCACCGCCTGGGGAAGAAGCTGGATGGGGAGCAGGCAGAACAGACTCCCCAGCAGCCTTCCAGAGGTGCATGGACATCATGTTTATGCCATAGGCTTTAAGGAACCGTGGCAGGATTTTAAACAGGGAACTGCTACATCATCGGCTTTCCCTGGAGGATGGACTAGACCTGGAGGTAGGGGCATGTTACAGTCGTAAGCACGAATGTATTTTCTTCCCTCCCTGCCCAAGAAACATGTTACAGTCTAGGTGCTTACAAGACTCTTGCCCAGACCAGGTATGTTACTGCTCAGTAAGTTTATAATACATGAGATCCATGACGTGGATTCCATTCATGTCCTCTGAAATATCCATTGGCCCGAGTAGAGAGACAGTGGCTTTAAGCACAAAGACACTTTCAATCTTAGCTGATAAATAGCAAAATGTGTTTAGTATGAGAGAAGCTGAATCTCAGTGAGGTTCTCCTCTCTCTCCTCATCTCAGGAATCCTCACCACTGTCTCCAGAAAACCCACCTAAACTGCAGAATGCTCCCCTTATAAAAAACAATCCCCTGGCTAATCTGTATTTGTTTTGAGGTAAATTTCATGCTTCTGTTCTGAATATTTCTCATTGCAGGGAGTTGGGGACGGGTCTAGTGACTTGCATGTTGTCCATCTTCCCTGGCAGACAGTGAGCTTGTCTGAGCTTGGCAAGGGCTGATACCACGCCTGCCTTGTTTCCTACTGACACAGAATGTGCCCCACAGCGGTTAGAGCAGGGCCGAATGTGAAGGTGTGGTCAGTGCACTTCCCTTTCAAAAGAACATTTGTTTTCATTTAAAAATGTGTTAG